GGCCTGCTTGTCTTGCCAGTGGCCCCTGGGTGAGACCCCGCAGGAGCCCAGCCTCTGTGAGGGAAGCGGAGCTGCCTCAGCTCCCTCCAGACGCCTCAGAGGAGCGGAGAGGAGCACACCCTGCCACCTACAGAGTCGAGGTTTTTTGTTTGTTTGTTTTGTTTTGTTTTATGTTGGTCGTGGGACTTGACCTCTGGGCCTGAGTGCTGTCCCTCAGCTCTTCAGCTCAAGGCTAGCGCTCTACCACTTGAGTCACAGCACCACTTCCAGTTTTCTAGTGGATTATTGGAGAAAAGAGTCTTACAGACTTTCCTGCCCGGGCTGGCTTTGAACCGTGATCCTCAGATCTCAGCCTCCTGAGTAGCTGGGATTACAGGCGTGAGCCACCGGCTTAAAGATGAGAGTGTTAAGGGACGGGCATGGTGGCTCATGCCTGTTCTCAGCTACTGAAGAGGTAGAGATTGGGAGGATCGAGATTCGAGGCCAGCCTGGACAGGAAGTTACTGAGATTCCCCCATCTCAACAAACAATGGCTCCCAGCTATTTGGGAGGATGGTGGTCCAAGCTGGGCCCCCGGGGCAAGACCCTAGTGGAAAAATAAGAACTGGGGTTGTGGCTGACGTGGCAGAGTGCCTGCCCACAGTATGCATGGGCCCCGAGTTCAAAGCCCAGTACTGCCACACACACAAGATTGGGGTTTAGCACAGGGCCCCTCCTCCATACTGACTTGGGGTTCGTGTCTCCAGAGTGGATTTGGAACACTGAGCCAGGCTGGAGATTAGCGCCATGGCCCACGTGACCTGTCCACACCCAGAGCACGCCTGGTTCTGAAATCCTGCGGTGTCCTGAGCGTTTAAATGATAGCCTTTTTGTAATGCCAGAGGAGCTTGACACGAATACATATTAATTTACCACATGATAGCTCTGCATAGTTTTCAAACGAGACTCACCTGGCAGCTTTGCTGATGGCACAATGATGATTTGCCGCCTCCGCCGCCGCCGCCACGCCCGGCTTTAAACACGGCCCTGGCGCCACAGACGCGCGCACCTGCCCGGGCCTGTGCGCCGCGGGCAGACTCGCTGCTTGTGCCCACACAGCACCACCGCCGTGCCCACTCTGCAAGATCATTGGCAGCCAGGTACTGAGGCCAAGTTCGAGCACAAGTACTAGCACACATGTACAGACACAAGAGAACATTGGCAGGGCTGGGAAGGTGGCCTAGTGATAGAGTACTTGACTAGCATGCATGAAGCCCTGGGTTCTATTCCTCAGTACCACACACATACACAGAAAAAGCTGGACGTGGCGCTGTAGCTTAAGTGGTAAAGCGCCAGCCTTGAGCTGAAGAGCCCAGGGACAGCGCCCAGGCCCTGAGTTCAAGCCCCCGGACAGGCACAGGGAGGTCAAATAACTTGTCTATGGGGAGCAGAACAGAACTGGGCCCGTTTATTAAACCAAAGGCCAAACTCTTACTTGCCCTATGTGTGGCCTCAGAGAAGCTTCCAGATGCCCCACAAAGCTGCTTTGTTAGGAGTCTAGAGCCTGGGGCCTTAATGCAGTGCTGTTGCTCAGGTGCACTGCCCTCAGCAGGACCTCAGCCTGATCTGGTGCTTTGGACTCTTTCTGGGGTACCCTCCCATAGGGCGAGGCGGGGGACAAGCCCTCCTTCACCCAGGCTCCTGAGAGCCCAAGCCCCCCACTCTCGCATCTCCACCCGCGCCTGGCTGGCAGCGTGCATGCGTGGCCCAGACACGCAGCTGGCATGCGCAGGTCGGCACCCAGGCTGGTCTCTGGGCACAGGATGAAGCAGGGTGTGTGGGAGCCAGCTCCTGCTGGCCACGCCCGTCCAGTGCCAGACTCCAGACAGGCACAGGCTCCCGGAAGCACCCGCCCTCGCTTCCTGCGGACGCTGACCCAGGCCTTGGCTGTGTGTGTGTGTGTGTGTGGTGGTCACCTCCAACAAGCTTGCCTGGTCATTTTGCATATGCTGACCTTCTTCCTCCCTTGGTGCCCTGCAGCTGGGGCGTCCCTCTGGTCATCACGGCGACCGCGGTGGCCCTGAAGAAGATTGGCTACGATGCCTCAGACACCTCTGTGGGTTGGTGCTGGATCGACCTGGAGGCCGAGGACCGCCTGCTGTGGATGCTGCTCACCGGGAAGCTGTGGGAGACGCTGGCCTACGTGCTGCTGCCCCTGCTGTACCTCCTTGTCAGGAAGCACATCAACAGAGCGGTGGGTGCCCGCCACGCCGTCCCCCGGGGCTCAGGCCAGAGGGGCCCTGGGCGGGCTGGGCGCCCAGCATGCGTGCACACTGCAGTCCGGGGTGGTGGGTGGACTGGCTGGCTAAGTCCACGCCCGTTCAGGAGCCGTCCTTGGTCCATGAGCGAGAAACCGGGCCTGCCCCGCATTCTGTGCTCCTGTGGCAGAGCCCCTGGTTCTGGAGCATGGCCCTCTGCTGCCCCCGTGTGGATCGCTGTGCTTCTACTTAGGCGTTCCAGTCAAGTTAAAAGGGGTTAGATAATCTAAGACCCTAAGAAGGGAGGCAAACTATGATCCATGGTGTACAGAACTCAGTTACCTTGGGTGGCCAGAAAGTTTTTTTGTTTTGTTTTTTATTGTTATTATAAAGGTGATAGGCAGTTACATTCGTCAGGTAGTGAGTGCATTCCTCTTTGGACAATGTCACCCCTTTGGAAGTTTGTTCTTTTTTTATTTTTTTTGTGCCGGTACTAGGGCCTGAACTCAGGGCCTCGGTGCTATTTCTCATTCAAAACTGGTGCTCTACCACTTGAGCCACAGCTCCACTTTTGGCTTCTTGCTGGTTAATAGAGATAAGAGTCTCGGTTTGGCTGGGCTCACACCTATAATCCTAGCTACTCCGGAGGCTGAGATCTGAGGATCATGGTTCAAAGCTAGCCTGGACAGAAAGGTCGGTGGGACTCTTATCCAATTTACCACCAGAAAACTGGAAATGGTGCTGTGGTTTAAGCGGTAGAGCACTTGCCTTGAGCTGAAGAGCGCAGGGACAGTGCCCAGGCCCTGAGTTCAAGCCCCTGGACTGGCACACACACACACACACACACACACACATACACACAAAAGAGTATCAGACATTCTTGCCAGGCTGGGTGCCTTCTAACCGGGATGCTCAGGTGGCAGCCTTCTGAGTAGCTATGATTATAGGCAAGGGCCCCCAGCGCCCAAGTTAACCAGTTTTTAGACCCTTGGCCCAAACTCCAGGAGTCTGACATGTCCATTCTGGCCTCTGGTCACTGTACACAAAGAGAGAGATGCGGTGAACGGCAGAGAAAGGAGGTTTACTACATGGGAACTCAGGATTTTAGTCCATCTTCTGCTTCAGAGGGTACAGACTTGAGCTTTAGTTTTTTTTTGGGGGGGGAGGGTCGGTCATGGGGCTTGAACTCTGGGCCTGGGCGCTGTCCCTCAGCTCTTCAGCTCAAGGCTAGCACTCTACCACTTGAGCCACAGCGCCACTTCCAGTTTTCTGGTGGTTTATTGGAGATAAGAGTCTCATGGACTTTCCTGCCCAGGCTGGCTTTGAACTGCGATCCTCAGATCTCAGCCTCCTGAGTAGCTAGGATGACATTGTGAGCCACTGGTGCCCAGCTTGAGCTTTAGATTTTATAGACAAAGAACAAGGGGTGCAGGAGAAAGGAACAGGTAAGTACTAAGTCATCCTGGTCAAAGTCTGGCCTGCGTCCTTGTTTGGGGAAGGGTTCTGGAGGTTTCTCCGGAAAGCAAGTTGCTGGTGGGTGGCTGTCGCTGGGGACGTGCTACGGCGTTACAGGTGACGCCGAGAGCAGCTGGGAGCAGACGCGCCACACGCAGCCGCCTCCGTGGGCTGTGCCCCTGCCCTCAGCGCATGGTGACGCCGCCAAGCCATGAGGTGCGGGTGGGGCCTAGCCCCAGAGCATGGGGACCAAGGGTTGGCAATGAAGCCCAGGGTCTGGCCCAGGCCCCTGGACGGACGCCATTTATTTGCATTGGTTGAGATGAGGCAGCCTGCGGGTAGGTCCGGGCGTTGAGAGCGAGCCTCGCATCTCAGACAGGAGACGCCTACCATGTCTTTGAGGCGATGGGTTGTGGGAGCCAGGCTTCCAGAAGCATCAGCTCTGCCATGGCCGGGTGGAAGAGGCCCTGGTGGTGGCACCCTGGGCTGCCCCGGGAGGCTGGGGGGAGGACCCCGTGGCTCAGGCCGGCCCCGCGTCCCGCAGCATGAAGCGCTCTCCGAGTACCGCCCCATCTGCGAGGGCCCCCACCTGCACCTGCGCAGCATGGCCTCCGTGGCCGACAAGAAGCTGATCCTCATCCCGTTCATCTTCATCTGCCTCCGGGTGTGGAGCACCGTGCGCTTCGTCCTGACCCTCTGCGGCTCCCCGGCGGTGCAGACGCCCGTGCTGGTTGTTCTACACGTATGCCACCCCCACCCCCGCCATGCATGCCAGATCCCAGCCCCAGTGCCGCCTCCCTTCCCTGGCAGACTGGGGCTTTGAAGAGGGAACAGGGAAGTATATGCATGGTCGTTTTCCAGCAACCTAGAGCACCGGTAGAGTTGGCTGATCCCAGGATCCTTCCCACCCGCAGAATTGACTGATCCTGGGTCCTTCCCACCTACAGAAGAACTGACTGATCCTATATCTTCACCACCTGCAGAACTGACTGATCCTATGTCCTCCCCACCTGCAGAACTGACTGATCCTATATCCTCCCCACCTGCAGAACGGACTGATCCTATATCCTCCCCACCTGCAGAACTGACTGATCCTATATCCTCCCTACCTGCAGAACTGACTGATCCTATATCCTCCCCACCTGCAGAACTGACTGATCCTATATCCTCCCTACCTGCAGAACTGACTGATCCTATGTCCTCCCCACCTGCAGAACTGACTGAGCCTATATCCTTCCCACCTGCAGAACTGACTGATCCTATATCCTTCCCACCTGCAGAACTGACTGAGCCTGGGTCCTCCCCGCCCTAGGCCCCCACAAGGGTCTGAGCCAGGCAGTCAGTTCAGGCTAGCCTAGAATGCAGCTGCAAGTCATGTGGTTGGGGGAGCAGGGTGAGGCTCTGGGGTCCCCCGTGTGACCCTATGCTCACCCTTTTCCTCTGTGCCCCACAGGGCATCGGGAACACCTTCCAGGGAGGAGCCAACTGCATCATGTTTGTCCTCTGCACCCAGGCCGTGCGCTCGCGCCTTGTCTCCCTCTGCAGCTGCCCCTGCCGTGCCGAGGGCCAGGCCCCCCCTCCTGGGGCACCCGCGCCCCCCAAGCCCGGAGCCCATCAGGGGTC